ATTGGTGTATTTTAAAAATTTTAAAAAAAAAAAAAAAATTAATTTTTTTTTTTTTTTTGGTGTTTTGAGGTGGTGTTGTGGTGATTCTCAAAATTTAAAAAAAAAATTATTTTTTTTTGTTTTGAGAAACTAACAAAAAGAACGCATTTTCAACAATTTCAAAACAAAAACTCAAAATACAAAATTCAAAATGAATTCAAAACTCAAAACACAAAACTGAAATACAAAGAGAACACCACCTTAGTTTTTTATTTGAAAAGGTAATTTAATTTTTCCGTCAGAGAGTCAAAAAGAGTACTGAATTCTGGATTTTGATGATACTAAAAATAGTTTTCCAAGGAATTATGTTTGAAATAAGGGACTGTTTGATAGAGTCACTTTCTATGGATTTTCACCCAATTTATGTTGTTTGATTTCCATAATTTTTATGAAATTACTTTTTCACTTCTCCTTCATCTGAAGCCATTTTCTTGATTTTGAAGGAATTCCAATTCCTTGGGTTTTGGTGAGAAAATGGAATTTCTAGCTCTTTTTTTTTTTTTTTTTTTTTTTTGGTTTTCGTTTTTGGCAATGGAAACAAATTTTATTCACAATTGTAAAAAAAATCTATCCATTTAATTGACAATTTTCATAAAAAAATAAAGTCAAACGAACACTAAAATATCCAAAAAATTTCGACATTTTTCAGGTAAAAAATTATACTAATCAAATATATTTAATTGACAATTCCTAGTAAAACAAGTTTTTCGCAATTCAATTTCTTGAAATTTGTTCTCTTTTCCATCTAAATTCCATTCTTGCAATCAAACGGATCCTAAGAGTAAGATGAATAATGTATACATTTTGATGATAAAGGAGATATCATGAGATAAAACCAAAAAAAAAAAATTTGAAATTCATTTATTTAAATAAACTTATTTATAATTGAAATTTTAAGGTTAGCCAAAACATATACCTGAGTTTTAACATAATTTAAACAAGGGTTAAATTAGCTTCGACAAGGATAATATAATTATTTTCACTTCAATTACTATATTTGAAAAAAAAAAAGTGCTTCAAGAAATAAATTTTCAGTAAATAGTCTTTTTTATGTATTATTTCTGTCGATTGGGTGTCATAAAATTGTCAGCGGAAGCCCATATATCCCTAATTGGGCCGATCGAATGGAAAAAGGAAAGGAAAACATGAAAACCCACTGGAAATCAATCATTATCAGTCAACCGTGATAAACTTTCAATCTCGGCCGTCATTATCGATGTTATCTCTCAACCGTCGATTCAGCCCCCTCGTTTAGAATTCAATTTGGTGTCACTGACATTAGCGGTGAACACGGTTCGATTTGGACGATTTGCGTTCTATTTTCAACTCAAACCATTTTATGCGGTTTGAAATTTTTTCAAACCAAATCAAACAATTTTATTTTTCAAACAAAACCAAACCATTATTTGCTGTTCGGTTCAATTTAAATCCGCGGTTTATCTATCGACATTATAACAATATGTTTAAAACAAGTTAACATATAAATGTAAACGAGAATTAATAACGTTAAATGTTAAATTACATTTATATTTGTCTAAAATTCGATATATAAACAAAAAACATATTATCAAGTTAGCATCTAGCAACAGATGCAAAACGTCCATACCTTTTATTTTTTAGCATAATTAGCAGAAAAGGTCTCTACCTTTCAATATTATTGTGCAAAACGTCCCTACCTTTCATTTTTAGCATTTTTACCCCTACATTTCACCTTTCATTGCGCA